CACTAGACGTGTGATCGAAAAGGGATACCCCATCTCTAGAGTCACACTGAAGAAAGAGCTGCAGGTCGTCAACCCACACGTCAAAGTCAACTGCACGCCCCTCAGCATCAAAGGTGAGAATAGTAGGGCTAGCCATAGCAGCAGTAGGAGCAGTAGCAGCAGTAGCAGCAGTAGCAGCAGTAGTAGTAGTAGCAGTAGTAGTAGGGCAGTGCAGGGCAGTGCGGCTCAGTAGGGCTGCGCGGCTCGGTAGGGCGGCGCGGCTCGGCAGAGCGGCGTGGCTCAGTGGGCAGCGCGGCTCGGCTGGGCGGCGCGGATCGGCTGGGCAGCGCGGCTCAACAACTGGCGGCGCGGCGCAGCAGGGCGGCGCGGGTGCTTAACAGGGGCGGGTGCAGGGCCGGGCCGTGACAGCAGGGGCCGCGCTAGTAGGGGTGGTGACGGCAGGGGGGCCGCGATTGCAGGGGGGGCCGTGCCAGTAGGGGCCGCGCCAGCAGGGGGCCGTGTCAGCAGTGGGGCCGCGCCAGTAGGGGGCCGGGTCAGCAGGGGGCCGCGTCAGTAGGGGGCCGCGTCAGCAGGGGCCGCGCCAGCAGGGGGTCGCGTCAGCCGGGGGCCGGGCCTGTCAGAAGGGGCCGCGCCAGTAGGGGTGGCGACGGCAAGGGGGGCCGCGACTGCAGGGGGCCGCGTCAGGAGTGGGGCCGCGTCAGCAGGGGCCGCGCCAGTAGGGGCGGCGCCAGCAGGGGGCCGCGTCAGCAGGGGCCGCGTCAGCAGTGGGCCGCGTCAGCAGGGGGCCGCGCCAGCAGCAGGGGCCGCGACGGGCTAGGGCCGCGACGGCAGTAGGGGCCGCGTCGGCAGTAGGGGCCGCGACGGCAGGCGGGGCGCGACGGCAGTAGGGGCCGCGACAGGCAGTAGGGGCCGCAATGGACTAGGGGCCACGACGGGCAGGGCACGATGCGCGCTTCGGGCAGGGCAGGAAAAAAAAAATAGTGGTGGGCCCTTAAAAAAAACGTTCCCACTAGGGAACCTGCTCAGAATACCATGTTAAACTGTGAGCGAATGAATGATTGAACTAGCAACACAGGTGGGTACAAGTAGCAAACCTAAAATTGTTGTACCCTATAAGAACTACCCCACTACAGCCTAAACAGACTATAGCATATAAGTTTGACATCTGTCGCGCAGTCCGCGACAACGGCTAATATAAGCCATTCCCTTTTCTCCGGGTTTCATTTCCAGGTGTTGTTAACTGTGCCATGAGACGACTCTGGTTAACACTGTCTGTTGCTTGATACAGGCTCTTCAAATGGTCCTAAGCCAGCTCGGCGGAGTTGCCGTATCCTCGATAAGAACGAATGTTCTGTTGCTCGTTTGGCGTCAAGTTTCGAAGAAGTATCGTATACGCCATCAGCGACTGATACGTATATTGCTGCTTGTCGTACTGTGTCCCATGTACTGGATATGGCAGGGACCCGTCGAAGAATCCGAGGATTTGCGCGCCTTCCATCATCAACTCGAATTCAAAGGACCAGGTATAAAAATCCTTCCCGTCGAAAAGCATTGATGTTAGCAATTTGAGAACGTGTGCGAATTGCGATTGCACCTGAAGCGCGTCCAGTGTCTTCTCTTGTCCAGGTGAAAACTGCGGCTGCGGCGCGAAACTGACAGAGCCGCGTTGAGGCTCATACGGAGCAAAGGTAGGTTGTTGTTGATTTCCGCGCGCGTATGATGAACCATCAAGACTCATCGGTGTTGCTCTATTGTTCTTGTCGCTGTTGTTTGATTGCGCAGGGGCTGCTTGCTGGTGTTGTTCGTAGAGACATGAAGGAGAAAAACTTCTCCATCATGTTTGGGTCGAAGCTTGCTTGTTGATTCCCGGGAGTTTCCGTTGACTCCGCAGTTGGTCTTGTGCCTTCTGTCTGTAGGCCAGAGACTGGAGGTGGAGTAGGGGTGGTGCCGAGAGATCCGTTGGAGGAGCTCCTCTCCTTTCGTGTAGCCATGACTTGTATTGTAAAAGGTTAAAAGGTGATGTTTTCCTGCCTTGCTCTCATACCATGTTGGGCTGAGAAAAGCCCTTAGGAACTTTCAGGACTAAGATCGGGTGGGTACTCGCTTCAGGGTAAAACTCGCTAAGCGGAACGGCAACCCTGAGGCATCAGTGTGCCTTAATCGTAAACCCTGGCTTATCAGGGAAAATCTAGCTACAAAAAAAATTACCCTAAGGCATCAGTGTGACTACCAAAAACCACCCTGATAATCAGGGTATCAGGGTGATTTACACTGATAAAATATGGCCTGGTCGAAACACCAAGTCAAAAGCGAAGCAGAATATATCGAAGCATCGGCGAGTCAACCCTCGAAGGTTGAACAACTGTTGGAGGTTACGCGAAAGTCAAAGGCCAGCAACCTTTGACCTGACAAATGCAGCGCGACAGCAAGGACAAACAGCTGCCTCGATACCGAGCAGTTGCCCGAGTCGACACTGTATCGAACCGCAACAGCAACAGTAAAACGGTTATTAATAATATCTCTTCATATTCCCTGTATTCATATAAAAGCTTGTATCTGTTTACTTTAATCAATCTACTTTGCCCTCACATACCAGCGCAAGGTGGTTCACAAATCTTTACTTAACGCTTCCGCTATTAGGGTACATTCCGCTCTGGACATGTCCCAATCGTACATGTCCCAATCGATTCCAGAGCGGAATGTACCCTTACATCATCCTACCCTTGAATTCTGTCCTGCAAAGATCCTAAGGGTTTTTTCAGCCCAACAAGGTCTTCGGTTCGAATCCCAATGTGTGCACTTCGGGCATCCAAGTGCGGGGGGTGTCAGAGGTCCACTGGTGATCCCCGATTGATCATAGGGAAGGGTTACAGACTCGTCGTTCTGGGGAGTTATGGGCGCACTAACCCGCTGCTTAACAAGCCCTTTTATCCCAGTGATCTAGTGACTGGGATTCTGACACGCACTGTACGTTTCGTCAGTTCAGGTCTCCGACTTTTGACCTTCGCGCAACCTCCGAAGGTTGACTCGAGTGCTTCTTCGCTGTAGTCAGTTCCGTTTTGTGTCGAAGCTTCGATACGATAGAAGCGTTATAAGTCACTTGTTTCCAACAAGCTGCAACCCGTTGCAAAACTGGTAATTGTTGCTAATAATTTTTCTACTGCACGATGTTATGGCTGCTGAGGTGCTTGCTCCAGCATAGCCTGATTTGCCAGCTCAGGCGCCAGGTTTTCTTGCAGTTGGTTCCACACAGTCTCCACTTGATGGACGAATTCTGGAAAAACGGAAATGCAAACAACACGCCACAGTTGAGAAAACAGGATTATAAATATGCTCCACACAAAGAAGATAAGGCAAGCACAGAATTGCATAAGGTGGGCTTCTGTCGGTGGAGGGAGGACTTGCCTTGAAATGTTGGATCCAAAATACATGCCTGCAGTAATCATATATTATATTTGGAGGTGTTAGCAATATGAACAGCAGAACCTGAATTCCTAGCTTACCTGAAGTTGAATAGAAAGTGGAAGTGCCTCTTCAACTGCATGAGGAACGAAGGCGAATCAGTAAAGAATCCTCATGCAAACCTACATCCAAATGACAAAACATGCTAACACTCAAACCTGCACTCTGAGGTTGGCTGGGCTGAGTCACGCAGCTATGTAGATTCGCTTCTTTCTCGTCGTTCATCAAGCCCTGTAAGAACCAAAAGGAAACTGGCATGTCACAATAGAACTTTCCGAGTACATCATGCTTAAAAAAAAAAAGATCACGAACCTGAATAGCGGCTGAGAAGGATTGAGTAGCAGCAGCAGTCTCGAATCTCATCATAAACTTCTGCAGCTGAGGTAGAGTTGAGCGTTTACTGGAATAAACTTGTCACAAACGAGTACACGATTCGTACCTGTGATGGAGAATCTGCTGCGGTATAGCACGCTACGACAACTCTAGAGGGTATGGCCTCGGCAGAAGCTTGTGGTCGACAAATCGGTTGGAAAAAATGAACTCTTAACACGTAATGTTGCTCCTGAAAGATGGCCACAACGTTAGACGTTTTGCCACATGCGATTTCATCAGCGACGCACGGCGGTTCGTGGCGAGTTTTCTCACGTAAGTGACTCCACAGATCAAGGAAATCGTGGAGAGCTTGGGATCAGCGCGTTTGACGAGCGTGACTGTCACAAGGTCTCTGCTCTTCAACCAGTGTCCTCGAGTTGGTCTGCCTTTCAGGCCAGAGAACTTCCCGACGGCTGCTTGCAGGAAAGCCGTCTGCGTTGCAACGAACTTACTCAAATGAACTTGCCAGGACAGCGAACCCAGCTCCTCGTCGGGTCGCATTCCGGCCATCGGTATGGAATCGCGAAGGATGGATTAACAATAACTGCGTTTTCGTGTACTAATATAGACTCTGGAGTCGTGAAGGATAGCCGCACAAGGAAAAACGGCTCTTGTGCCGCTGTGAAATGAAAATTGACAGCTGTATGGTTGCTGCTCTTGAAGCTTTGAAGAAGCATGCTGGGTCCGTATTGTGCAATGGTATAAGGGCGGGTAATTTTCGAATCTGGAAAAATGGTGCGGCTACACTCGTTTGTGAACCGTGCCGATTTTCGAGAGTGTTGCAAACTTCTTCTTCTGCGACGTTTATGTTTTCGGCATCCAATCAGAGATGCTTACCAATTTCTCTTAAAGCAAATGTTCGTCTGGGCAAGATTGCGTGTCGGTGTGGTGTCGCGAGGACGCTCCATGAACTTGGTTCGGATTTGTTGTATGTCACCCGAAACGAAAAACCATGCATGTCCCGCCCTATTTCTATCTAATCCCTAGAAAATCCCTCAGCACTCGTTAAGATGATCGAAAACAAACGCTACAGTACCTTCTAGAGAAAAGTATTGCATATACACAGATTACGTAAAATTGTTTTTACTACCATCCTGAAATGTTACAAGAAGAAATTTTAGGCAGAATGCTGAAACCATGGCAGAATCTCTACTACCGTAATCTATCTAAAAACCACCATGCGTTTTCATGAACTCCACTTCCGCAGGTGTGCTCTCCCTTCCCAATGCATCATTTCGGTGCGGATACCGACCAAACTTGACAATAATATCCCGGTGCCTGTGTGCAAAATTCAAACCTCCATTGAAAAACCCCTTCACGGGACCTTCAGGGGCATCTTCAACCATTTGAGTCATCAACTCAATGCATCTATCCTGTGCTGCCAAATCTGTGGAAGCAGACAGACAGTATGAACCAAGCCACAGAATGACACAAGCCACAGAATGACACAAGCCACAGAATGACCATAAGGGAGGAGCGTAAGCTTCTGAATGCTAATGTGCGAATAGCAATGAGCTGTTGCCCTGGCACGCCGGAGGCAAAGTGCAACACACCTTCAGGGAAATTTCTGAAGAAATGTCGTACCTTCTGCGTGCTCGAACGGCAGGTAGAAGAAGGGCTGACCTACTCTCGGCACCTGCCGATCAAAACCCTTGTCAATAGCCCTGTGTCCACGGTACAAGCACAAAATTATTCAACTTGTTCATAAGAGGGAGGAGCATGTCTCTGTTTTGTTCCGGGTGAACACAGAGGAAGGGTGTGCTAAGCTGAGGTAGGGATGGAGATGAGAAGGGTATGTTGTGATGGTTGGTTCCAGATGAATCTGCTAGGTAACCTTGTTCAGAAATCTTTCTTATACGATTGTAAGAGGCAGGCTATGCCGACGATGCAAAAGGAGTGGTTTCTACGCTTGCAGATTTGGAGTTGTTTTAAAAGGGTGTAGATAGAGACACTCACCGCTTAGCAATCTCCAAAGCAACGTGATCCTGGAGAGCAAAGAACATGAAGGAAGGAAACAAGGAAGAAAGAGAGACATATTGGAGCGTTAACAAAGAACAATGTGGTACCGGAGAGCAAAGTGAAGAAAAGAGTGAGACAACATAACACAGAAAGATACATTGGTTGAACAGCAACCAACCATTGGTTCACCAGAGACAGCAGGTGCTTACTGTGCAAAGGCTTCTGAGGAGCTCCTGAAGCAGTTCCTCTTGAACTTGACAATACGGGTAGCACCTTGTTTGAAGAATGCCTGACAATGAACTATTATGAATGTGCGACAAAAAACAAAGTACATGCCTGTGCAAAAGCGTCTGGCGAACCCCTGAAGCTGTTTCTCGTGAACTGATCAAGCAGCACAAGCAACGCGAGAGCACCATGTGGCGTGTCCTCCCAGCCCGCCAGCTGGCCTGACGCGGCGAGCGGGATGAGCGGAGCGAATCGCGTGCGAATGAAAGCGTCCACGTCATCATTCTTGCTGAACCACACACGCGCCTTGGCTACCTCGTCTGACGGCGCAGGAGCCGGGCCCTGCAAGGTTAGCAAGGTTAGAGGGAGGGAGCAAGGGGCGCTTGTACAAGTTCCCTCTGTTTGGAGTGGCACTGGCAATGACATGATAAATGGAGAATTGCACAATGAGTGGAGCCTTGCATGGCGAATGGAGCATGCTAGGATGGATCGAGCATGTCTGGATGAATGGAGCATCAACTCTCCAAACCAGTATGCAAGAATCGCCTACGCTCGCACTGAATCACCAAAATGCCGGCAGTAGGAGTGAGCACTGCATTGCTCACTCTCCAAACCAGCGTTGTTCACATGCCTCACATACATCACATTTTTTAGGATTTTCACAACCGCTTACGTCATATCCCGGCCGCATGAACTCTCCAAACCAGAACGCGAGTATCTCCCCCACCCCCTCGTTCACCCCGACCGCACCCGCAGCAACGTTGCTGCTCCCGCCGGTATCTCCTCCTGCCGCGACCATAGTTACAATGCCACGTGTCACTCTGGCGTTGCTTCCTGTGCAGGAATCGGCCACTCTCGCGATGCGGCGGCTGAATGAGCAGCCTTTCAAGCCGCGCTCCCAGCGATCGAATAGATGCTCTAATTTCACGTGGGCCGGAGAAGAGGGCGAATAAGGAGAAGCCGGAGAAATCGACGGTTTGATCAGAGCGGCATAAGTTGCGCTCCCGTCTGACCTGGCAGTAACAAGAGCGGTGATTCTCGCTAATCCGACGCGTGGAATCACTGCGGGGGCCAAGAATGACCGTTCAGCAGCGGATGTCAAGCACAACACGCGTCTAGCGAGGGACATGGAAATGGCGGCTCGTTAAATGGAACGCAGCGGTGGCAGGAAGGTTTCACCTAGTGACAGTATCCTAATGAATGACGTACACTAATGAATGTCGAAACTGGCTTTTTTGCGTGAGCCTGAAAATGAGTGCGAGGCAGTGCAAATGCGCAATGCCGTCCGTCGATCACGTCGCATCACCCACTACCCTCTCGCCCCACCCACGAAGCCGGAAATTGGCCGAAGGAGCGAGGTAATTATGGCACGTCAGCCGCTGTCGTCAGCCAAGACAACATTTAGGTGCTCATGTTGAGAATACGATGTATATCGTCGACGATGACATACAGACATGTATATTCTGGCGTCTCAATTATGTAACGAAGAGCGACAAACGAAGTTCTCCAACGCACCGCGCCTAGAGCCTGGTGCGTTGCGGCAATTTGGCTTGGTGGGGTGTTTTGGAGGGAATGACGTATCGCCCTGGTTTCGGGTTTCCGATTCCTTTCGGCAGTGGTTTTGACACCGCCTTGCTTTGCGCTGGAGTCCGATACCTTCAGTTAGTTATTTACGCTATTGCCCCTTTTCGAGTCCAGAGACTAATACTGTGTTTATTTATCGGGATATCATAAGAATTGTCGAGTCAATTACAAGAAGCTCGGGACAAAAAATATATCCCCTCATGGAGTGCATGCCATTTGGGAGGCATCAACCCTAAACACCATGAGGCAAGGTGTTTAGGGTTGATGCCTCCCAAATGGCCAGCCATCCGAGAGGGATTTATTTTTTCCACTGGCCACTAAACTAAAACCAGGTAAACTTCAGAATTTTCCTGGTCACAGGAAATTGGAAATGTCGAAATCAGCTGCCCCAAGGAATCGGAAGTGAGCGGAGAAGCGAGGCGGTGTTAAAGCCACTGTCTAAAGGAATCAGAAACTTAAAGCCCGCGTCCCAAATTGCGGGCCGCGAGGGTCAAGTTTTTAAAACTTGACGAAGTTGAGTGTCCAAGCTTTTGAAAGTCACGCACCTGCAATTTGGGACTTTCGAAAGATTCACTCACCAGGGGGAAAACCGAGGGTTGGCTGGGTCTCGCGAAAAAAACGAACCTAGACGAAATCGGAAACTCTCGCCAAAGCCCACACCAGAAAAACTCCCTCTGGTCAACTTTTAAAAGCATGAACAATTTGGGCCGCCGGCTTTAAAAACAGGGCGATCCGTCATTTCCTCGGAGTTTTGCCACATCACGGTGGCGAGACCTCGTTGTCTGATGGACCACATCAAGTTGCGAAAAGCCGCTAATTCGCGAACCACTTTTTTCTCACGTGACATGATTCTCACCTCTCGTTCTCGGTTTTGCGTTCGCAGCTCTTCGTGAGAGGTGCAGATTGACATCAGCGAGTTCTATGAGACACAACCAGCACCACCAATTTCCCCTCCTGAACTGGCGGCCAATGATTCATGCGTGCTGCTTGAAGTATTCATCACTACATGCGTGTAGCTCCTGCTGTGACAGAACGCTCCGTCGCAATTGCAGCAACTTGTGCATGTGGTGTGGACGATTTTCTGACGACTCTGCTTGCAATCGTCCATTTCACATCGTAATAGCGGATTCATCCCCTTTAGAAGTAAATACGATTCATCCTCAGCGCTCGCAAGCAGCCGATTCTTTGCGCGCAAGTAGCGGAGTCTGAGCGTCGCTCGATCGCCGCCATGGTTGACCTTGCGCGCTGCGCGATCTGCGCGTCCTCACCAAACCCGTTCTCGTTATCGCAATTCCGAGTATCCAATTCGTCAGCAGTTGCGCAAGCTCGCCCCCTGTCCCCGATACAAGCTCTCAGCGAACATCTGCTATTATCACCATTGGCCAAGCTCACATCCAGTAAAACGATCCATCATCAGCTGTCAGCAGGGAGAATCGCCATCAGGCGGCGGACAAATCCGGCTTATCCGGCCTCCGAAACCTCCCGGAAAGCCTCCTCGTCCTCTCCTGTTGGTTCGTCTCATGCCATCATGCCATGCCATCCTCTCGAGCAGTCGACTCAGGCTCTAGCTCCCGCTTCGATGCTCCCGCTCAGATTCTCCCGCTCCGATGCTCCCGCTTCGATGCTCCCGCTCAGATTCTCCCGCTCCGATTCTCCCGCTTCGATGCTCCCGCTCAGATTCTCCCGCTCCGATGCTCCCGCTCCGATGCCCCGATGTCCCATCTCTCACTCAATTCCCCGCGGGGAATTTCACACCAGCATCTACTGCTTATTTCACACATTCCAGTCTCAATCCCCCTCAACACGTCTCTCCCCCTGCTCTTCTCTCCACTCTCAGCGGCGCTCTTCTCCCAGCAATTCGACGATCCAGATTTCAGCCTGCTTCCCATCGCACGGCCAGAATTGCACCAGCTGGGCGAGTGCTTCGCGTGCGCCCCGCCCACCAGCGCGCGCCGCCAGCCGCTCAAAGGCATCATCACCTTCTTCGGCGGCGCCTTCCTGGGAGCTTCGCCAGACGTCTTCTACAGGTCTGATCTGCTCCGGTCTGGCCTGCTCTGGTCTGGTCTGGTCTGGTCTGGCCTGGCCTGGCCTGGCCCGGCCTGGCCTGGTCTGGTCTGGCCTGGCCGCCTGGCCTGGTCTGGTCTGGTCTGGTCTGGTCTGGTCTGGTCTGGTCTGGTCTGGTCTGGTCTGGCCTGGCCTGGCCTGGTCTGGTCTGGTCTGGCCTGGTCTGGTCTGGTCTGGTCTGTTCTGGTCTGGTCTGGTCTGGTTTGGTCGGGTCGAGTCTGGTTTAGCTGGTCCGGGCCAGGTCGGGTCGGGTCGGGTCGGGTCGGGTCGGGTCGGGTCGGGTCGGGTCGGGTCGGGTCGGGTCGGTTCGGGTCGGGTCGGGTCGGGTCGGGTCGGGTCGGGTCAGTTCCGGGCGGGTCGGGTTTGGTCGGGGTGGATTGGGTCGGGTCCATAGCACACCGTCGTATGCAGCTTTCCCTTATCTCCCATTCCTCCCCTCTCCTCCCCCCATACAACTATCCAGCGCGCTATTATCACAGGCCTCTCGGGCCCCGTGCCCGCCGCCTCTCTTCCTCTCTCTCTGCATCCTGCACTCATCCTCTTGTTCACTTTTACATACAGCCGCTCTCTATCCCTTGTCCCATGCTACTCCATTCTCCCTCCTCCCTACCCCATGTCCGTTCTCCTTCTCCTCTCCCCACCTGCAAACGCAGCTACTTTCTAGACCTTCTTGCTAAGGGCAGCTATCTGGTGGTGGCTGTGCCTAATCCAATCACTTTCGACCACGTGGCAGCAGCTGCCGGCCTGCACGCCCGTGCCATGTCAGCACTCGACCTGCTCCAGCTGCACGGGCTGCCCTCCGCAGGAATCTCTTCTGCTGACGTGGACGGTCTGCCAGTCTACAGCGTGGGACACAGGTACAGTCAATGCTGGTCAACGTGGGTTGAATATAGAGATATGGTCACACGGCCCAGCACGTTGTAAATCCTCATTGTTCCTCTGTTCCTCCGCTCGTCTGCCCCTCCGCCCATCTGCCCCATGGCCGCTCTACCTCCCACTCTCCAAGAGTCTTGCACCTGCACATAGTAGGAGCCAGTTTATTTGTCAGGGGTCATGCCTTCGTTGTCCTTATCATCCCACTCTATCCATTCTGCCCAACGCCCTCTCACTATTCCCTCTCCCTGTGACGTTCATAGCAACAGTGCTCATCACTCTCCTCTCATCACTCTCCTTTCAAGGTTTCCATCGTCTTGTTCCCTGTTTGAACAAGAAAGAGTCTTCTTCTCCTGAAGCATCCCCCACTCATTCTTGTCCCCGTGTGAAAACACTCCTCTCTTCCATCTCCCCGCACTCACAGCAACAGTGCTCATCACTCTCCTCCGTTTCTTGTCCCAACCACGCCTTTTATATCTCCCTGCTCCGTCATCCATCCCCCCCTCCACCCTTTTCAGCAACCTTAGCTCTGATGCAGCTTCTGATGGCTAGTCTCTCTACCTACAATTGCAAGTCCATTGCTCTCCACATCTCCATTTCCTTTTCCCGCTCTCCCCTTTCCATTCCAGCAACGGCGCTCTGATGCAGCTGCTCATGGGCAGTCTCTCCACCACCAAGAGAGACCGCCTGCCTGAGGTGAGTGCAGGCAGGTGAAGGTAGGTGAAGGGAGGTTAAGGGAGGTGAAGGCAGGTGGAGGCAGGTGAAGGGAGGTGAAGGGAGGTGATGTTTTGTGTCATGTGCATGGTGGAGGGGGGGAAGGGAGAAACGTGCTCGCACGCAGTTGGGATGTAGGTTACTCCCATCAGGTTCCAAATAGAAATGACCGCCATCCGGTCCCATCAGGTCCCACCGCTACCCCATCGCAGTGGTAAGCGTGTTGAGGCAAACAAAGAGTGGATGTGTGAGCATTGTGTTGAGGCAAACAAAGAGTGGATGTCATGTCATGTCATGTCATGTCATGTCATGTCACGTCATGTGCATGGGGATGATGGGGCCCGGGAAGGGAGAAAGGGCTGCACTGTTGGGATGTAAAGTACTCCCATCAGGTTCCAAAGGGGAGTGACCGACACCACCGTTACCCCATAGCAGTGGTGAGGGAGGGTGGTCAGGCCAATCAAAGACCGCCTGCCTGAGGTGGTTGCATGTGAAGTCTCGTGTCATGTGCATGGGACGGGGAGGAGGGGAATGTGCATGTAATGAAGTGGACCAAGTACCACCTCCACCATCCTCTAATAAAGTGGCAGTACGCCTTGCACTTCCTGTGGTACCACGCCTTGCACTTGCTGTGGTACCACGCCTTGCACTTCCTGTGCGTGACGGTCGGTGGTAATGAAAAGTGACCAACCTATGCGCTCCTGCGTGTCTCGCTCTCCCTCCTGTCTCCCCCTCCCTCATTCTCCTTCTCTCCATCCTTGTCTCCCTCCCCTGCCTACCGTCCTCCCATCCAGGCCAATGTCATCATAGCATTCAACAACCGCCCGGCGTCCTTCGCAGTGCCGTACTTTGACCAGGTGAGGTGAGGTGAGGTGAGGTGAGGTGAGGTGAGGTGAGGTGAGGTGAGGTGAGGTGATGTGAGGTGAGGTGAGGTGAGGTGAGGTGGCCATTGGCCAAGCACATGCCTGCGAGTTTCATGCCATAAGTTTAACTCCACGAAAACATATTCTCCCAGCAGCATTCAACAACCACCAGGCTCCAGCCTTGAAGGCCTTTCCTCTTGCAATCATTTCCCTCCGTCGCCCCCCTCCCCTCTCCTCAACCCCTCCCATCAATCTCTTATTTTCTCACCCCCCTTCAGATGGGGCCAGCAGTGCAGCAGCTAGCTCCAGCTATTGAGGCCTTTCCTCTCACTGGCATTGCGCTGAGTGTGGCAGGTAAGTGATCAGTGCACCCCACTCAACCCATTCCATACCACCCTGCCTCCCATGGAGCCACTGGGCAGAGCAGGAGCTCTTTAGAATTTGCTTTGTCCACCCACCGCACCGCACCGCGCGGCCCTCCACTGCACCGCACCCCACCACACCCCACCTCACTGTACCCATCCCACCCTGTAATTCTCTGGAGCCTGTTTATAGAGCAGGCGTTGGAGGCCCGCAGGTTCCTTCTTCGACACCCCATCCCACCCCTCTTCACCCCATCCCATCCCACCCCTCTTCACCCGATCCTATCCCACCCCTCTTCACCCCATCCCATCCCACCCCACCCTTCCCTGGAGCCCGTGCACAGAGCAGGCAGTGGAGGCACTGCAGCGCAGCAGCATACCGCTGCCACCGGGGGTGCTGAGGAACGACCTTGACCCTCTCGGGCGCTTCCTTGAACAAATCCCGCCCGTTCTCGGACAGGTGCGGTTACCACCTCCACTCACATGCACCACCAATGCCACACACGTGGGACAGGTGCGGTTACCACCTCCACTCACATTCGTTACCATTACCTCACACAGGTGGGACAGGTGCGGTTACCACCTCCCCTCACATTCGTTACCATTACCTCACACACGTGGGACAGGTGCGGTTACCACCTCCCCTCACATTGGTTACCATTACCTCACACACGTGGGTCAGGTGCGGTTACCACCTCCCCTCACATTTGTTACCATTACCTCACACACGTGGGACAGGTGCGGTTACCACCTCCCCTCACATTCGTTACCATTACCTCACACACGTGGGACAGGTGCGGTTACCACCTCCCCTCACATTCGTTACCATTACCTCACACACGTGGGACAGGTGTGGTTACCACCTCCACTCACATGCATCACCAATACCTCACACACGTGGGACATGTATGGTTACCACCTCCACTCACATGCATCACCAATACCTCACACACGTGGGACATGTATGGTTACCACCTCCACTCACATGCATCACCAATACCTCACACACGTGGGACATGTATGGTTACCACCTCCACTCACATGCATCACCAATACCTCACACACGTGGGACATGTATGGTTACCACCTCCACTCACATGCATCACCAATACCTCACCTGCATGGTTACCACATGGCCAGGCGAGACAGGTGCAGTTAGATGGGACAGGTGCAGCTACCACTCTGCCCACATAAGACATGTGGGGTTACCATAGAACATCTAGGGTTTTCCATATGGTTATATGGACAGATGTGAGGTTACCACTTGTGAAATGACTGCATGCAAAAGGTGCTGATGTGGTTACCAGCCAGGCAGATGGCACTAAGGAGGTGGCAATGTTACAATAGGGTGTTGCCTGTCTACCTGTTCACCTGTTCATCTGTCCACTTGTTCATATGTCCACTTGTCCATGTGCCCACGTGTCCTTCTGTCCACTTGTCCACCTGTCCACGTGTCCATCTGTCCACGTGTCCATGTGTCCACGTGTCCACACGCCACCAGGTGCGGGATGGAGTGTCGGAGTTCACACCACCACCGGCAGAGACCAGGAAGCTTATCGCCTCCTCCTATGCTGTCCCACGGAACCTCCTGGTGCGTGCCTCTTCCTCCCTCGCATATGAGCCCTCTGGGTTGCCCATGCTCTATTCGATTGAAAAAAAAGTTATCTGTGATGTTTTACATCATATATCTCGTTCTTCCCCTATCTCCTTCGTATGTGGACGCGCCCCCATCCTCACTTACCAAATAGCCTGGCCGGCAAACAACTACCCTCGCGCATCTTCTCCCTCCCGCAAATCAAGTTCTCGGTGGACACTTTAGACGAGACGGACAAGCTGGATCCCATTCTCACTTGTGAATTTACTCCGTCTGTGTTGACTTTTGAGTCGACTCAAAAGTTCTCGGTGGAGACTTTAGACGAGGCGGTTCAGCTGGATCCCATTCTCACTTGTAAATTTACTCGGTCCGCCCACAACACAACCTGTCCTCCCGCATCTCCTCTCTCTCGTGTCCCCCTCCCCATAGATCAAGTTCTCGGTGGACACCTTAGATGAGACGGACCAGCTGGAGCCCATTCTCATGGGGCGCATGGAGGAGATTGGCGGCTCTGTTTCCACTCTGCTGCTTGAGGGGACTCACGCGACTCCCCTGGCTCCAGTACGATTTCTTTATTATTCATCCTGCTTCCTTTTTTTTCTGCAATGGTGCTCTGATGGTAGAGGGTATCGCTTGTTCCTCCCTTTTGTTTTTTACCGTATGTGTTGCTGCTGTGTATGCAGGATGTGTCGTGGCCAGTTCAAGATGCTTTCTCACCAGTTGATGCTATTGCCCAAGGAGTGAAGTCGAGTGCTTTGGTGGATATTCGAAAGTTGGCCCATGAAGTTTCGGCTTGGCTAGATGACCTGTAAACAATCAATTAATGCCAAAGAGTTAAGTCTTGTGAGATGATAATAATGCGGTACGTGATTCTGTATATGTATAGATAAAAACGTATTTCATAGTTCATCATTCTGTTGCCTACCTTTTTTGTCATGGTATCTAAGAGGCTAGGTGAGATCCTACTGCCGTACCTACTGTCCCCATGCGTGCTCTGCCCCATGCTGGCCCATGTGCCCCTCGCGCGCTGCCCTTCGCGCGCCTCGCGCTGCCGCATGTGCCCCGCATTCCCACGCACGCACTGCCCCGCGCTTCCCCGCGCTGCCGCGCGTGCCACACGCAGCCCTTCGCGCAACCCCGCGCGAGCCACCGCTGCTGCTCGCACGCCATCGCTGCCCCGTGCGCAACTGCCGCCTGGCGCCGCTGCGGCCTGCAACCGCCGCTGCCCACGAGCCGCCGCTGCCCGTGCGCTGCTGCTGCCTGGTGCCGCCGAAGCTCACGCGCTGCCACTGGCCCGAGCGCCACCACTGCCCCGTGCGCCGCTGATGCCTGGCGCCGCCGCTACTCACACGCCGCCGCTGCCCCGTGCGCCGCCGCTGCCCCGTGCGCCGCCGCTCCCCCGTACGCCGCTGCTGCCTGGCACCTCCGCTGCCCGTACGCCATTGCAGCCCGTCCGCCGCACCACCGCCGCTAGCGCCCTTACGAAGCTGCCGCATATGCACAGCCACTGCCGCCCGTGCGCCGCACCGTCGCAGCTGCCGCCCTTGCCCAGCCGATGCTACCACCCTTGCACCGCCGCTACTGCTTGTGTGCCGCTGCCGCCCAAGCGCCGCTGCTGCCTGTGCACCGCATCGCCGCCGCTGTCGCTTGTGCGCCACACCGCTGCTAATGCCGCCCTTGCGCCGCTGCCGCCCTTGCACTCTACTGCTCCTGTGTTGCTGCTGCCCGAGCACTGCTGCTGCCTGTGCGGCGCACAGCCGCCACTGCCGCTAAGCGCCGCTGCCTACCATGGCGTCGCCTACTGTACTGACTTGGGGGTGGTGGAGGTGGCGGTGGTGGGGATGGTTCATTCTTCTGGCCATTCCACAACAGAATGGGATTACAGAGCGCCACATTGGCTTGATCATGGAGGTTGCTTGCACCTCCATGATCCATGCGACTGCTTCCCATTTTTTGTGGCCGTTTGCGGTTCGATACGCCACGCATCAGCTCAACCTCTGGCCCCGTGTCTCCCAGCCAGAGACCTCGCCTACCCTGCTTTGGACAGGGAAGGTAGGTGATGCGTTGGCGTTTCGGATCTGGGGTTCGTTTGCCCTTGTCAGCGATCCTACCGCGGGTGTCGCGGAATTACGTGGACAATTGAGGGCAACATATATTTCGAGACAACGACTTCATATATGGAGTGGGAAAGGGGATTTGGTTCAGGGAGGGCTTTATCGGAGCAGCCACAAGCGAGGCGAAGATGGCGTGTGGAGGGAAGGCAGTGCCAACATTGGGCTGCACTGTATATAGTTGTGCTATACCGAGGATGGGGTTTGCTTGTGAATGCTGGGGAGGGATGTGTGGTGTGCATGTTTTCTTTTGTGTGAATGTGTTTCTTTTCCGTGGCAGGACGAGTGCTGCAAACGCGTACACGGGCAGCAGAGCTGACAGGTGGCAAGGGTTGCAGTGGCACATGCGAGCCAAGCGTGCAGCTGGCATTGGACTTGTGCAAGGGCTCATGCAGCCCCAAACCGCCAGCGGCTTGTACATACGACTCGGGGCACCCGAGCCTCGTCCTTTGTGATGTTTGCTTGTCGCTTTTGTTGAGGCGCTAGGACTAGGGGTGGGGACTTCATCTTGTACATAGCATCAATGAAACTCTAGTGCTAGCTGCTTCGTCGTATGTTTCCTGTTAAATCAAACACAGGCAACGAGAGAGTAGCAGGAGCCATCTAGTCAGCTTTCATGTGTTAGTGAGGTTTTCTGACATACGACGAAGGAAATCTCACCACTAATCGAGTAAGCGATGGTGCATGCAGCTGCGATCTGGTAGACGCTACGAGCGACCTCCGGAAGCGCCAGCGATGGCAACTCTGGGATGGCGAGCAGGAGAAGCAGTAGGAGACAGAGCGGGCCCCCAGGCGGGAGGATCCGGAGCCGGGCACCCAAGAGAGACCTATACAGCACTGCATCGAAGCCATAGTATGAGTGACCTGCCGAGCGGGGGCCTTGACGCGCGGGAGAGCACGACCGGAAGGCCACTCGCGGAAGTGGGCGAAACCGTTGAGCCGCCGCTGAATGAAGGAGGCCAGGAAGGCGGTGTCGCGGACAGCGAGTTGCTGCGGCACACCAGGAGGCTCTCCTTGTTGGAGCATCATTGCACGGAGGTCACTCGCGCGCCCGTGCGATACGCCGCGCTGCCAAAGATCGAAGTGCCCGAGCGCTTTGCTGGGACACCGGGCGTGGGCAGCAGCCTGAAGAATTACATGATGCAGATCCACAACGCGCAATACCACTGGATGAAGGTTGGACTCGAGTCTGAAGATTTCTTATGAGGAATCTCGAACACGGTCGCGGGGGAGGCGGAAACGTCGTACGGCATGAAGCTGGAGCGCATGCTCAGCGAATCAGCACAGGCGTCGGGAATCATGTGGGAAGTTGTGACGCAGTTCTTCACAACGCTACGACAGCAATTCCTTGTGCAGACGCCGGAGCGTATTGTTATAGTCACAATAGGCTTGAATGTGCCTAAAACGAAAGATAGAGTGCACAGTTGGATTTCTGCACAGCGGGTTCAAACGTTCATAGCGTTCTTCTCACAGCTTCAAATGACCTGAATCGAATTGGATCTGGAGCGTCTTAATGTCACCTACAATAAGCAATTTAGATTGCACGTTTTCATCAAGAATTGATGACACACCGTTTGTTTGAACGAACGGTACTATGGCAGCCACTATAGTGTTAAAACACAAATTAGGAAGATTTACGAGTTGGGAATGACTCCCAGCTCCTACAAACCCCAAGAGCCGAGGTACAGTGATGTGGAACAGCGCCACACTGTCCCCAACCACGAAGGGTCTCGAAACTACCCTCCACAAGGGCTTACACCAAGAGAAATGTTACACTACACAAAGTAATGCAACTATTCTCACTATCTTAAAGTTTACCATTTTGGAGAGCTTCGAAATCACTTGAATCTTGAAACCAAGGCTCTGGTTCTTCAAGATAAATTCTTCCTTGAGTTCTTGGAAGTCTGCTGCGCACATCTGCGACACGCCGAACGTTCCACACACGACAAAATAGAAAACCGCACACGACACGCAAACGACGACGTGACACGCGACTAGCGATAACTCACTATTGACTCGACACACACATTCAAAATCATGCCTCATCATTCACACACTATTGTAAGCATGAAATATATATATTATTTCATGCCCTCATACCATTCCATGCACACACGCATGCACGCACACGGACAACAAGCCGAATGCAAACCGTAGGGTTGCACCAACAAACTCCCCCTCCGATTGTTGGCCTTAGGATCTTGCTCTCTCAATTCAGAGCCATCCCAGCCAGCTTACAACACTTCCAATGCTGCAGCTCCACCAGCCTTTTGGTCATCATGTCAGATGGCTGCCCCGTCGTCTTCACGTAGCGCAACTCAACTTCACCCGCGGCCACCATGCTCCTCGTCCAATGCCACTTCACCCTCATGTGCTTCGTGAGGTCATGCAACACATGGTTCTTAGCAAGAGCAATGGCACCCTGGCTGTCACAGTAGAGTGGGGTAGGTCCTTGCTGCTCCTCCCCCAATTCAGCCAACAAACGCCGCTGCCACACAATCTCCCGTACGGCACGGAAGAGTGCCATGTACTCGGACTCCACCGAGCTCAATGCTTGATCCACCTTCTTCTTGCTCTCCCAAGCAGTTGGGCCTCCACCAACACAGCAAATGAACCCTCCAACACTTTTCATGTCCTCTGGTTCCAAAGCATAAGAAGCATCCGAGAATGCGGTGAGGAACAATCGCCCGGGTTCAACACCATCCGCGCCCTTTTGGCGCCTTTGCGCCGCCGCCGAGTATTGCAGCCCAACGGTCGGTGTTTGGCCAAGATACTTGGCCACCCTCATTCGAGCTGTTACCTGCTCCTCATTAGGGCATTGAACAACCCTAGCCAACTGTCCGGTAGAAAACGCGACGTCCGGTCGGGTGTTTACCGCCGCATACATGAGGCTGCCCACCAACGAGTGAAAATGGCGCCTCTCCTCTTCACCAACGCTCTCCTCCTCTGGTCCCTTCACACACTTGAACCCAGAGGGAAAGAGTGTAGCCACATGGCCTTCACTCTGCCCAAAGTTGGCAGCCAATGCCTCCAGGTACTTCCGTTGATGCACCCACATGCACTGCTTCTCCACATCGCGTTCAACGTGAAGCCCGAGGTAGATGCTAACGTCACCAAGGGCCTTACACTTGAACTTGTCTTGAAGCTTCAGCATCACCTCCTTCACAAGGTCAGAGGAGGGTGAGAAGATGAGGATTTCATCCACGTACACCACCATGAAGCTCCTCTGTCCCCCCTCGCCAAGCATGAACAATGAGTGATCGGCCGTTGAGGTAGTGAACCCGATCTCCTCCAAAACTCATTGCAGCTTCAAATACCACTGTCTAGGGGCCTGCTTGAGTCCATAAAGGGCCTTCTTCAGCTTCAAAATCTGCCACTACCATCATCAAACCCCTCTGGCTGCGCCAAGAAAATATCTTCTTCGAGAAATCCATTGAGGAACGCGATTGTCACGCCCATTTGTTTCACCACCCATCCTTTGATGGTGGCACACGCGAGTAGGGTTCTCAGCATCGTCGGCTTCACCATAGGAGCAAACAACTCCTTATTGTCCACCTTCTCCTTCTGCTGGTACCCCTTGGCCAGAAGCCTAGACTTGTAGCGCTCGATCTTGCCGTCGGCGTCGGACTTGATCTTGAAGAGCCACTTGGACGTAATCGCCTTACGCCCCTCCGGTAGCTCCACCAATTCCCACGTGCCGTTCTCCTCAATGCTCTTCAGCTCACTCTCCATTGCTTTCTTCCACTCCTCAGCACCACTACTCTCCAAGGCCTCCTTGAGATTTGCTGGTTCCCTCAGCATCTCAACCGGAGAGAAGAACGCAAAGGCACACTCCTCGTAGTCACTCTCCTCGTCATCTCCAACTATAAGTGCCGCTCCGGCCAGAGCTGACTTGGCTGGCTTTCCCAATGCATCATAGGTCAGCCTATTAGGGGCTTGAATTCTCCTCTTGCCCCTTCCTTCCTCCTTAGCTCCAGGGACATGAAGGCTCTCATGGCGTTGCTGCGGGGTGACTCGGATCCGTGGAGCACTCGTAGTCCGAGAAAGAAGTGTCGGTGCACGCTCGCTCATTTGCTGCACCTCCTCCTCTTCTTCCTCTGCATCCTTGGCCTCCTCTCCCCCATTCACAAGGGAAGATTGCCTTGTGGTGGTGCTGCCGCTGCTCAGCTCCAAAGGCAGCTCCACATGCTCCAAACCGGAACTCTTCACCTCCCCAAACCGCATGCCTATCTTCGCCTCATTCTCCGCCTTCCAATCCTTGTACATCAGATTCTCCATGAATTTGCAGTCCCTTCTCACAAAGAATTTCTTGGTGAATGGGTCCCAAAGAAGCCATCCCTTGCTGTTTCGAGCCATGCCCAAATGTACGGCCCATATCGCCTTGGCACCGAGCTTGTTGTGCCGAAGATGCTTAGGCACGAGCGCCATGCACATGCACCCGAACACCCGAAGCATATCCACCTTTGGCTTCCTTCCAATCCACTCCACATAGGGCACCCATTTGTCTGCTCCCACATGAGTCAAAGCTCTGTTCTTGGCCACACACGCACTCCGCACTGCATCAGGCCAGAAGTAGTCGGGTAGCCCGGCTTCAATGAGCAACCCGCGCGCCGTCTCCGTGATTGTCCGGTTCGCTCGCTCAGCGATGCCGTTCATTGCAGGGGAGTATGGCATGGTAAGGGAATGCCTTATGCCATTCTTCTTCAGCCACAATGAGAACTCCTTGCTCAGGAACTCTCCCCCTCGATCGGTGCGAATTGCCTTCACTAGCCGGTCTTGTTGCCGCTCCACCATCGGCAACCAATCGGTCTTCACCGTTTCAGCCACGTCGCTCTTCTTGGACAGCACGTACACCCAAGTCATGCAAGTGTAGACGTCCACTATGGTGAGAAAGTACTCAGCTACAGCAGCTCCAAGCTTCAGGGGGCCCACCACGTCCATCACCACCTCATCAAGTGGTGCCTTAGCCGTTGCCTCCAAACTAGAGAACGGGTAACAGGTGAACTTGGCTTGCATGCACGTCGGGCAGCCAAGTACCTCATCGGGCTCCCCCTTCACACGTATGCCAGCAACCATCTCATTCTTCACTAGCTGCTGCAAGATGGGCAGGGTCACATGCCCCATTCGCCGATGCAAGGTGAGCCAATCACACTCCCCCGTAGCCGAAGTCGGATTGGAGAATGCCGCACTCGCAATAGTGCCCCACATGTTCTCTCCGTACTCCTCCTCCGCTGCTGCCTTGGGGTTCTCCTCACCCTTGTGCTGCTTCTGAGCTGCTGCACCACTCTCCTCATGTTCACCGAGCTGGCTGGTCCCTCCAAGATTGCACTTCTTGGACTTAATCTCCTTCGAGCCATCGCCGCTACCAACCGCTTCACCCTTGGTGCTGATGCTTGCTGCCACTTGCCTTTCCTTAGGCATGGGGATCACAGGGATCTGCCACATCTCGTTGTAG